TTTTCTTCAGATTACGCCTTCACATGGAAGGCTGGATGCCCTGAGGATGCTGGAAAAAAATTCAGTCCTTATGGCAGTAATCTGGCAACGCCCTAAGACACAGTAGATATGATCAAGAGCTCTCTCTCCTTCTCTCTCTTTCTTTGTCGGTACGATGGCAAAAACACAGCAGACTGGGCGCCATGGTGTCATTACTCTGCTTGTTAGCAAATGCGTGTCAGCGTTAGCCAATTGAGTCCAAACGCATACTGTCCGGAAAATAAAAAAGTAAAAGAGAATGAGTACTGAGAACAAACAGAGGGAATGTTGAGGACATTCCTCGTGGTTTATGGCGTATGAATTATAAATAACGTGGCGTGTCACGTGCAATTTTCTGACAAAACCTGTTAAAAATACTAATTAATTAAGTTTATATCAGGAGGGTTTCGAGGACACGATGAACAATTAAAGTTCCATTGGACCAGCCTTCAATCAATTCGTGGTTCGTCATGTTTCTGGCGTGGGCGAGTACCTTGATGGCTGCGAAGTTGAACTCATGACCCGTTTCGTATGTGTGAGGTGTAACTTCCGATAGTTCTTAGCCCCCTCGTACAGCCAGTTTATGTTCATGCATGCGCGATCCCAGCACGCGATTATTTTGACCTGTGTAATTATAAGAACATCTTAGGCATGGATGCGATACACTACCCCAGATTGCTCATTGGGAGTAGGCCGGTCCTTAACCTTCCTCACCATGCTGCACATGAGAGTTTGGATTGATATGCAATTCCAACACCTAATCCCACAGCGATGCGCTCAGCCGCTTCTAAGACGTCCATGCTGTATGGTAGAGTGTGCCATATTCTCGGTGGTGCTTCTTTTTGGATCCTCCGAGGCCGAAGTTGTAGGCATCGGCTTATTTTTATATACATTATGTGACGAACCCCAGGAATTTTGAGAAAAAAAGCGCTGAACTGGCATTTTAAAGGTAATCTACGTAATTAATTACCGTATTGGCACCACAGGTATTAGCTGAAAGCACAGACATATGTTTCGCCGGTATTCTGCCGCTGTTTGACGCATATATGAAGGGCCAGGCTCATCGGTGGGTATTCTAGCATCTACTGTGTGTTTTTCTGGTTACTAATCCGGTTTTTCAATTTCGGTTTATTAATTTCTAACTTGGATTAGATCACTTTATTCAAGGATTTATGTGTGTAGACTGAAATCTGGTACAATTATTTGGGCCGAATACCGTTAGCCACTGC